TGCTCGAAACGCGTATGACGTCACGATATCCATGCTTATACCACTGATTTCAAAAATAAATGGATAAAGAATCGTAGGGCTTGATTGGCTAAATTTGTGCGAAAATTTGGAGTCAATATTCTACGAACAGTTGTGCAACGGAACAGCCTAACACCTGCGCAGTGTTTATCTTTCGAACAACTGTTCTAAATTTTGAAATATCCTGCATTTTTATTGGCTATGTTTCCACTGATTTATCAATCTGACATTACCTGTGTGTCAATGAAGTAAAATTTTGACACATAACGGGGGATGTTTATAAAGTGTGTGCCAATTGCAATGATTCTTACTGTACATTTCTTGGACAATAAACCACCTATATCTCAAAAACTAGTCATATGATTGGTTTGGGCCCATGAGAACTTTTTATCAGGAAAGTCAAATACTCATAAGAGGAGTGCGGGGTCCTTTATATTATTCAAATTCACGAGAAAGTATTATAGATTTTGAAAATTCAAATGTAGATAACATTTATTTACACAGTAAGCATAATAAGCATGTAGAGTGTTGCAGTATGTTAAAAACTTACATTATATTATGTCGGTAATTTGAAAAGGTGTGAACCTCAGAAAGAGAAACTGAGAAAAAGGGAAAATTATAAGTATACGGTTTCTCTAAGAATTCAAGTGAATTTACCTAATAAAAAGGTAACGTGTGTTGTGTTACTAACATGGAGAATTAGCGGGCAATAGATAAATGACGCCGATAGGGAAACAATCGGACCGAGATTTTTATTTTTTTCAGTAAGCGACAGTACTTACACGGTACTACTCTTTTGTGGGTGATTTGTTTAATCTAGAGACATTGTTTAGGTATTCAAATTTTGATTATTCCTGGCGTTTGAATTTTCTAATTTAATGTTTTGGAAATGGACATTATGTTATTATTATTACAGAATGCCTTTTGGATTAAAGAATGCGCCTGCAACTTTCCAAAGAGTAATGGACAATGTATTACTAGGATTACAGAATATATCTAGTATAATGGATGATAATACGACGCATGATAATACGATAATTACTCCAAATCCATTTAGCCAGTAATAACTTGGGATTAGAATCTATAGAGTTACAATGCCCAAAACCAATCAACCAAAAAACTTACCTTTTGAATATACAAAATCCGCAAAATTCTTCTGCTGTTCATCTGAAAACCAAAAATAAACCGATAAATAATTTAAAACTTTTCCTCTCTATACTACTACTATACAATAACCGGCAATATAAATAATATTTCCAATTCCAATTTTGTTTCCCAAGCAAGGTGCCATACACCAAGGACTTTATCGTCCTTTTTCGTATTAGGTATATAGCATCTGTTGTCGATGATGGAAAATTTGTTTTCTCTGGTTACCTTTGAGGCTGAAAGGTCTTTATATCCGAGTTTGACTGTACTACTAATATTCTTTTCCTATCTATTGAGAATGCAATGGTGCTATTTTATTAATAAGATCATTTTATATTTGATGCAAATTTTAAAATGATGATACCTTGAAAATTTGAATTTAGTTGAAATTTACAGGGGCCTATTTTCAATGTTAATTGTGCCTCCTTCTTAGCCTCAGAAGTTTTTCAAATTTTTAAACATTCTTCAAAGTCTTAAGACCTTTGAAATCTGTAGAATTTGTCTTTGAAATCCATGGAGTCTTCGTTGTTGTGTCTTCAAAAAGTTTCTAATTCCTTGAAAACCTTTATTAGTTTCTAGACTTTTTGTGTCTTTCAAATGTATGATCTTAAATAATGAGCTTCAAAAAGTCTTCAAAGTTAAATAAGAAATCTTAAAAAGTCTTTAGTTGGTTCAGAATCTATAGAATATCAAGAATTATCAAATTTTTAACTTTCAAAAGTTAAATTTTTCATCTACAAAGGTCAAAAATTACCTTTTTTAAAAGAAATTAATAAGAAATTGGTTAACAAATAGAAATCAAAGTATTTGTTTATTCCAGGCTCTTGAATTCTTTTAATTTCGGGATATTTGAAGAAATTCAAGAGCCAGGAATAGACAAAAATTGAGAAGAAATAAATGAGCGAAAAAGTTAATGATAATGGGAAATTGAGAAAAATTTGAAGAAAAATTGGTTTGACAAGTAGGAATATAAGCATTTTTTTTATTCCAGGCTCTTGAATTGTCTCAATTTCGGGAAATTTGAAGAAATTCAAGAGCCGGGAATAGACAAAAAAAATCAGGAGAAAAGTAATGAGAATTGGAAATTGAGAATTGACAAGATGGAATATAAGTATTTTCTTTATTCCAGGCTCTTGAATTCTCTCAATTTAGAAAATATTCTAAAAAATTCAAGAGACCAGGTCAGTTTTTGTACATCTGATTGCGGTTTTAGGAGAAATCATGGACGATTTCCCATGACTATCCCTAATTTCTTCTGAATACCAGTAAAATTACCGAAGAGTTCTCCAACAAACCTCAAATTATAAAGATTTTTGAAAACTGCGCATGGGTTAGATCTAGAGATTGCCTGATTTCCTTACGATTTCCCATGATTCTCTCAAGATTTCTCCTGAATTCCTTGAGGTTTCCAATGATTTCCCCCGATTGCCTTAGATTTCCTCTCAATTTCCCCCTTGTTTTGGACCTTTTGTAAAATGTGTCAAGATTTCAAAAAATTTCCAAAGCCAAAAATGTGATTTCCTTTTGGATTTTTTTTTCTCATCAAAATTTCCAAATATAACTGATTTGAGAGTTGTTTCTGACTAATTTGGACTCACTCTGTCGATTTAATTAAGAAAAATAAAAATTTTCAATTTCTTGCACTTTTTCCTAAGGGTAACCCCTTTAGATTTTTTTTTCTAAATCTTCAAATTTGAATATCTCAATAACCAAAAGGGGTACTGAGACAAAATTTTCAGTATTTGTAGCTCTTGATAAGGGCTTTTAGATGGTATTTAGCTGAAACCGCTAGCGTTTATAGTTTTTGAGAAAATCGAGTTCAAAGTTTTAGACAAAATTATGACTAAGTTTCAACTTTGGAGGCCAATATCTCGGAAACCCCAAAAGTTACAAAAACCAGTTTTGCACAGTCCAATAGAGAATTTAATGCTCTTTCCAATGATGTATAATTGTAAATCATTTTTTCAAATGTTATCGCCGATATGAGCAATTATTCATATGGGTGTCAAGATTTCACAAAATTTCCAGAGCCAAAAATGAGATTTCCTTTAGGATTTATTTTTTCTCATCGAAATTTCCAAATATAACTGATCTGAGAGTTGTTTCTGACTTATTTGGACTCACTCTATCGATTTAATTAAGAAAAATTTAAAAATAAAAATTTTCAATTTCTTGCACTTTTTCCTAAGGGTAACCCCTTTAGATTTTCTTTTCTAAATCTTCAAATTTGAATATCTCAATAACCAAAAGGTGTACTGAGACAAAATTTTCAGTATTTGTAGCTCTTGATAAGGGCTTTCAGATGGTATTTAGCTGAAACCGCTAGCGTTTATGGTTTTTGAGAAAATCGAGTTCAAAGTTTTGGACAAAATGATGACTAAGTTTCAACTTTGGAGGCCAATATCTCGGAAACCCCAACAGTTACAAAAACCTATTTTGCATAGTCCGATATAGAATTTAATGTTCTTTTCAATGATGTATAGTTTAATTCAATTTGCTCAAAATTTACCAAAGATATGGACAATTGTTCATGTCCGTGTCAAGATTTTGAAATTCTCTAGAGCTAAAAATAGGATTTTCTTTTTATTTTTGTTTCTGCTAAAAATGACCATTTAGAATTGATGTCAGGGTTGTTTTCCACTAATTTTGACCCGCTTTATCGATTAATGAAGTCAAAATTGAGCAAAACTGAAAAATAAAAAAAATCGAGATTTTCATAAGGGTACCCCCTTTTAATTGTGATTTCAAAATATTCAAACCTCAATTGCTCGGTAACGGTTGAGCAAATTGCATTAAAATTTACAAAATTTGTAGCTTTTAACAAGTTCTAAATGGCTTGTAATTTACAATATTCCCAGATTCATAGTTTTTGTACAAATTGAGTTTGAAGTTTTTGACAAAATTTGGACTAAAAGTCAACTTTGAGGCTAAATTGCTCCAAAACTATTTGAGCCATCAAACTGAATTTTGCACTGACTTATAGAGAATTCAATGCTCTTTCCAATGGTATGTGATTTACTTCAATTTGCTCAAAATTTACCAAAGATATGGGGTATTGAAATCTTCTACGTATGGTTGAAACATATGATTGACCTGATGATGATAATACAAATTTAGTTACAAAATGGCAAAAGAAATACGAAAAATCTTCAAAAGATAAAACTAAACTCAGAAAAATAAAGAAAAAATTAAACAATTTAAGGATATTGACAGTGAGAAACCACTAAACATTTGTACAAACAAGCTTCACAATTCTGGAGAAATTCATAAGAAAATTTAGGTACAAAATAGCAAAAAAACCTCAGTAAACCAGAAAAATAAAACAAATTAAAGATGATAACAATGGAAAAAAAGACAAGAGAAAGGAGGAAGACACTATAAACATGATAGAGAGGTACCTATCAAAACAACTAAAAAGGAATAAAAACCTAAAAAAATATGAATAAAGTTACACCCAACAAAACCTAAAGACACAAAATCGGTGTAAAAAGCTTCTGAACATCATTACAGCTTATTCACATCCCAAACCAGATTTCATTACACCAAATCATCATCTTGCTGAAACTTTTTTGTTTCAAAAACAGACACATAATCCGCCCCTATACAACCACTTGGCGCGTAATAATCACATTTACACACCGCACCCAATAAAGTGTCGGCAAACAAAAAAAAATTTTTACGTAACAATTTCTACAAGACACCGAAACCACACCCAACGAGTGTCGGCAAACAAACCGGGAGGCAGGCACAGGATCGGCGCTGATTGGCCCGACCGAGCTTGAAAAGGCGGACTTTCTACACCCTCTTGTGTAGTTATTATGTGTGTAGAAACTTAATGGGGATAAAAGTGGTTTTTCAGTCGTTAGCGAGGCTCATACGTGAAATGGTAACGATGTAAATATGGTTGTCAAGTTCGCCGCGACGATGACCAATACACCGTTAAAGTCGTCGTTTTCGATCAGTTCGATTTTGACGGACAATAAGAATTGTACAGAGGTTGACGTGAAGAAAAATGAGGAAGTGGACTGTAGATTAGTGAGGGAGGAAGTGAGTGAGGATGTTGAGGATGATGATAGGAGTGAGGTTAGTGAGTGTGAGTCAGATTTGGATGTAATTGGTACGGGGACGCCGCCACTGGATTGTTCGCCCAGTCGGTCCAATGATGGTGAAGACAAGAATGGTCCGGATAATAGTTCAGGTAAGTGAGTATATGACGTAATATACTGCCTTATATTGTGAGACAAATTTGGTGTAAGTCAACATCGTACAACATGTTTAGTTTCATAGCCAAAATTTGGTTTACATGTTCCTGAAGATTGTTGCAACCATAAAGTTATATATTGCAAGTTACATACATACAGGGGAAGTTTTCAATGGCGATATCTCAAAATATGGTCAAACAGCTTCCAAATGACCCCAATTATCACTCACTGAAATACTCTTATCGATGTATCAAACACCCTGTATAATACCTATTTTAGTACCTACATAATCTGGATGTATTTTTGATTTGGACAATATTTGTGTCTCAATATGGTTGTACCTTCATTAAAACTTATATAAATGAATATCTACAAAACTCTTGTGTCATTACACAATCTGACGTCATTGTTCTGAAACATCAATCACCAAAATGTCAAAATATTTTGATAAAACAAAAAACATTTTGACTTTTTCTCTTGTGGAGTAAGTTCACAGATATCTCATCATAAGACTGGAAAAGCAATCAAATCAAGTAACAATATCCGGTGCACATTTTCCTATAAGTAATCAGCAATAAATTATATAATCTTATATACCTACTAATGAGGTAATAATTATGTATTGAATGTACTTTATAGAAGTATTTATCTATAATACGTTAAACGGTTTATGTCATATCCTTTAAGCGTTTAATATTCAGGGTATTTAAATGTGATATTTTTTTCTAGAAAAAGACAAGAAAACCAATGATAAACCCCCGTACAGTTACAACGCACTGATAATGATGGCGATACGCAATAGTCCAGAAAAACGACTTACCCTCAACGGAATCTACGAGTACATAATGCGCAATTTTCCCTACTACAGGGAAAACAAACAGGGCTGGCAGAATTCCATCAGACACAATCTCAGCTTAAACAAGTGCTTTGTGAAGGTAAAAATTATGTTTTTGGGACAATAACTTGATTTACGTGTATTAAAGAAACTTATGTTCACCATTTGGTTCAAATAATTCTCCAGCTACATGATACTTTTTTCATCTTGCATTGAATTTTTTATCAATAAAGTTGAGGTTTGGCAAAAAACCTTTAGGCCTAATTAACGCACCTGCTACTTTCCACAAAAAAGTACTAAGTAATTGCATTGGTAAATTTACCTTATAGACTGGGGTTTAAATTGTTTCAGGTCCCTCGTCACTATGACGATCCAGGCAAAGGCAACTACTGGATGCTAGACCCTTCAGCTGAAGACGTTTTCATAGGCGGAACTACTGGAAAATTGCGGCGCCGTTCCACTGCAGCTTCCAGAAGCCGCCTTGCAGCCTTCAAACGCACCCTAAGCCTTTACTCTCCCATCCAAGGTTATCCAGCCTTTTACCCACCCAATCCTGCTTTAATTGCAGCCTACTCTCGTTATAACCCTTATTTACAGCCAAGATTACCATTTCCTATTGATAAAGCTCCAGATATGTCGTCATTTTTCCGTCCGCCGGCTTCGCTGTTGCAAATGTATAGTAATTTGAGGCTAGGGAATCCGTTGCAGTATCCTTTGCAGTTACCTTTGATGAATTTGGCTCAGCATCAGAATGTGGCTGGGCAAGGGGCGGCTTCGCCTGAAGCTCCTGAGGGACTTTTGAAGCCTGTTACAGTCATAAGTAGGAATGATAACTAACTAGCACATTAATTGGTAGCCCATGTTCAAATACACATAAATTTTGTTTGTGAAGTGTAAATATTTATTTTTTCGCCCTATATAGTGTATATTAATAAATATTATTGAAATAAGTAATTATTTATTGTAAAAATGTATTTATTTATTTATAATTTCTGTGATGTATAAACTGTAATATAGATTTTTAATAGGTTTAGTTGTTTCTTAAATAAATAACTTCGATTATTATTTGGAAATTTTGTGTATTTTTTCTTGGGAAATTGTTTCAGCTATCAGATCAATTTAGAGGCTCAATTGCTCAAAAACTATTTGAGCTATCAAATACAGGGATTTATAGAGAATTTAATGCTCTTTCCAATGGTATATAATTTCTTTCAATTTGCTCAAAATTTACCAAAAATATGGGCAATTGTTCATGCCCATGTCAGGATTCTGGAAATTCTCCAGAGCCAAAAATAGGATTTTATTTTTATTTCTGTGTCTACTTAAAATGGCCATTTGGAATTGATATGAGGATTGTTTTCCACTAATTTTGACACGCTCTATCGATTCATGAAGTCAAAATTGAGCAAAACTAAAAAATAAAAAAATCGAATTTTTCATAAGAATTTGAATTCTGTTTTCAAAATATTCAAACCTCAATTGCTCAATAACCGTTGAGCAAATTGCATTAAAATTTCTAGAATTTGTAGCTTTTATTGAGTTTCAAATAGCCTGTAATTTACAATATTTCCAGATTTATAGTTTTTGAGCAAATTGAGTTTGAAGTTTTTGACAAAATTTGGACTAAAAGTCAACTTTGAGGCTCAATTGCTCAAAAACTATCCCAGCGATCGAACTCAATTTTGAACAGATTTATAGAGAATTTAATGCTCTTTTCAATGATGTATAATTTATTTCACATTGCTTAAAATTTTACAAAGATATGGGCAATTGCTCATGCCCATGTCAGGATTTTGAAAATTCTTCAGAGCCAAAAGATTTTCTTTTTATTTTTGTGTCTGCTTGAAATGGCCATTTGGAATTGATATCAAGGTTGTTTTCCACTAATTTTGACCCGCTCTATCGATTCATGGAGTCAAAATTGAGCAAAACAGAAAAATAAAAAAATCGAATTTTTCATAAGAATTTGAATTCTGATTTCAAAATATTCAAACCTCAATTGCTCGATAACCGTTGAGCAAATTGCATTAAAACTTCCAGAATTTGTAGCTTTTATTAAGTTCCAAATGGCCTGTAATTTACAATATTCTCAAATTTATAGTTTTTGAGCAAATTGAGTTTGAAGTTTTTGACAAAATTTGGACTAAAAGTCAACTTTGAGGCTCAGTTGCTCAAAAACTATCTCAGCTATCAAACTCAATTTTACACGGATTTATAGAGAATTTAATGCTCTTTCCAATGGTATATAATTTCTTTCAATTTGCTCAAAATTTACCAAAGATATGGGCAATTGCTCATGCCCATGTCAGGATTTTGAAAATTCTTCAGAGCCAAAAATAGGATTTTCTTTTTATTTTTGTGTCTGCTTGAAATGGCCATTTGGAATTGATATCAAGGTTGTTTTCCACTAATTTTGACCCGCTCTATCGATTCACGGAGTCAAAATTGAGCAAAACTGAAAAATAAAAAAATCGAATTTTTCATAAGGGTACCCCCTTTGAATTCTGATTTCAAAATATTCAAACCTCAATTGCTCGATAATCGTTCAGCGAATTGCATTGATTTTTCCAAAATTTGTAGCTTTTATTGAGTTCCAAATAGCCTGTATTTTACAATATTTCCAGATTTGTAGTTTTTGAGCAAATTGAGTTTGAAGTTTTTGACAAAATTTGGACTAAAAGTCAACTTTGAGGCTCAATTGCTCAAAAATTTTCTCAGCTATCAAACTCAATTTTACACGGATTTATAGAGAATTTAATGCTCTTTCCAATGGTATATAATTTCTTTCAATTTGCTCAAAGTTTACCAAAGATGTGGGCAATTGCTCATGCCCATGTCAGGATTTTGGAAATTCTTCAGAGCCAAAAATAGGATTTTCTTTTTATTTTTGTGTCTGCCTGAAATGGTCATTTGGAATTGATATCAAGGTTGTTTTCCACTAATTTTGACCCGCTCTATCGATTCATGAAGTCAAAATTGAGCAAAACTGAAAAATAAAAAAATCAAATTTTTCATAAGGGTACCCCCTTTGAATTCTGATTTCAAAATATTCAAACCTTAATTGCTCGATAACCGTTGAGCAAATTGCATTAAAATTTCCAGAATTTGTGGCTTTTACTAAGTTCCAAATGGCCTGTAATTTACAATATTTCCAGATTTATAGTTTTTGAGCAAATTGAGTTTGAAGTTTTTGACAAAATTTGGACTAAAAGTCAACTTTGATGCTCAATTGCTCAAAAACTATCCCAGCTATCGAACTCAATTTTGAACAGATTTATAGAGAATTTAATGCTTTTCAATGATGTATAATTTATTTCACATTGCTTAAAATTTACCAAAGATATGGGCAATTGCTCATGCCCATGTCAGGATTTTGAAAATTCTTCAGAGCCAAAAATAGGATTTTCTTTTTATTTTTGTGTCTGCTTGAAATGGCCATTTGGAATTGATATCAAGGTTGTTTTCCACTAATTTTGACCCGCTCTATCGATTCATGGAGTCAAAATTGAGCAAAACTAAAAAATAAAAAAATCGAATTTTTCATAAGAATTTGAATTCTGATTTCAAAATATTCAAACCTTAATTGCTCAATAACCGTTGAGCAAATTGCATTAAAATTTCCAGAATTTGTAGCTTTTATTGAGTTTCAAATGGCCTGTAATTAACAATATTTCCAGATTTATAGTTTTTGAGCAAATTGAGTTTGAAGTTTTTGACAAAATTTGGATTAAAAGTCTACTTTGAGGCTGAATTGCTCAAAAACTATCTGAGCTATCGAACTCAATTTTGCACAGATTTATAGAGAATTTAATGCTCTTTTCAAAGATGTATAATTTATTCAAATTTGCTTAAAATTTACCAAAGATATTGACCATACCAGACTATAGTGAATTGCTTAAACCAAGAATTCGTGATAATGTTTTACTTAAAATGCAGTTAAAGCGTGACAGCCAAAAGACATATTATGAGAGATATGGTACAGGAGATTTAAACCATTGACTGATAACACCAATGTTACTATTTTTGACCATTATACAAAAAGATGAGGCTCCAAAATCCTATCAAGTTCAGGATTCTAGGGTCACTGACCAATCTCAACTTGATACTGTTGATGACAATGCCAGTATTGGTATTGATATTGATTGATCTCTTTTCAAAATCAATAGAGAGGGGACGTCAATATAGAAATAGCGAAAATTACAGTTACAGAATTCCAGCCCAGCAATTCTTGTCAAGAAAAAGAACGGTGACAGAGTTACTATTAAATTCCAGTTGCTGAAAACTCAGTAGATAGAACAGCCTTTATTACATTCGACGTTGGCTGGGAATTTCTTAGAATGCCTTTTGGAGTTTGCAATGCTCCGGCAACATTCCAAAGGTTACTTAAAATACGGTTCTAGGTAAACTGAAACTATTCTTAAAATTTTTCAAAAAGCAAATTTAAAATTGAATTTAGGAAAATGTTTATTTCTTGAAGATAAAATTAACTACTTAGGTTACGAAGTACCCGAAGAACCAGGAGTCAAATCTATATGGGCAACAAAAAATCAATGCCGTGTCAAATTTTCCGCAGCCAAAAAACATTCACAGACAGTTTTTGAGACTATGCTCTATAATTCAGTTATCAAAAAATATCCAAAGGTCCAAAGGTCTCTGCTCAGTATATTCGACTGTAATCTACCAACAGAGTTACATACAGATGCATGCTCCAAAGGAATAACTACTATTCTAACTTCTATTCTACTGAACATGTTATATATTATAGTAGGGCCACTTTCTATTTCTAGAGAGGAAAGTGTATATCACTCGTATGAACTAGAAACACTTGCCGTCGTAGAATCAATTAAAAGGCTGAATTTATTTGATAGGAATACACTTTAAAATAATAACTGAGTGTAGTACAGTTTGCTTGACTTTCAGCAAAATATGTATTGCCCCGTGTCGCCCACGACGCCCACTGGTGACTAAATATTCAAGATTTTAACTTTGAAATAGAGCATATTAGGCCTGGAAATAAAATGACACATATTGAATCTTTGTCTAAAAGTTTTGAAGGTTCCAACATCTTCTGAATTAACTGTTTAAATGACTGGATTTATTGGCTCCAGTAACAAGATCCAGAAATAAGAGCCAGACTTAAAAAAGACAATCCTGATAAGGAAATTACAAATAAGTATCTGGAAAAAGACTTTAGGCTTTATCGTAGAATCATATGGATGATCTTCACTCGACTAAAAGAACTTTTCACATGTCGTGTTCGGATTTTCGTTCCGCATATCACCAGTTCATGAACCTGATCGTGATAAAAGAGCCTTTCGGAACTTATCGTTTTAACAGGATACCGTTTGGACTGAAAAATGCACCTGAAACTTTTCAGAAACGATCAGTTTCGTTGTGGACTCAGTAACGTATTAGTGCTAGCGTATCTACACGATATCTTTGTGCTCTCCAGGACTTTTGAGGAACATATCGAGGACTTAAAATTTGTGTTTTCACGTTTCCGCTAATTCAATTTACGAGCCAAACTTGAAAAGTGCAATTTTCCATGTAAGATTGTTAAATACCTTGGTCATTTGATCTCTCCTGATGGAATTTCTGTGATTCCGAGAAAAGTGGCAGCAATCGCAAATAGATCTACGCCCTGTGACGTTAAGCAAGTGGTTTTGAATTTACAGACGTGTAGATGGTATCGTCACTGAACCCTTATCATTAGATGGAAATGTAGCTGAAAATTGGAGACGTTTTAGCCAAAAGTTTGACCTATTCTTAAAAGCAGCTAATATAAAAAAAGAAGTCTGAAGAAAAGAAGCTAGCCATTGTCTTAAATTTGCTTAGGGATAAAGGTTTAGAGTTATTCAATAGTTTTACGTTTGGACAAGGCTCAGAAAACAAAATTAAATGAAGTTAAGTTGAAATGTAATGAGCATTGTTCGCCCTAGAAGAATCTAATACATGAAAGGTATATTTTTAATAGGTAGTATTCTTCAAAAAGAAGGCCAATCTTTCGAGAGTTTTTTGATAAAACTAAAAAAAACTGTCAAAACAATCGAATATATAAAGACTAG